GACCTATAATTAGGTTAATTATAGGTCTATGGCATGTACTAAGTTAGATGTCGACGATGCAGACGGAACACGTGATGTTATCCATATGACTGTAAAGATACATGTTTATCAAATCCCTTTACTGATATGATAGAGATCGAAGTCCTAAATACTGATACATGTATATATGGCAATCTTGATATCGAAAAGTAAGCATATAAGCCTTTCTGCATTCTTTGCTGAAAAGTGATTAGATAAATATCGGATGACCAGAACCCGTCTGGTGATAACTTGAAATTGAAACACTTAAAAGTAGACCTGATTAAAATTGCCACAACTTACTTCATGGATATATAAATAAAGTAATGCCTGAACACAGTGACAGTGCTAGGTGAGGGCTAAAGGCGCCCCCCCCCCCCCTCCTCTCTTTTATGTCCTCAAGAAGTACGTTGTGGAAAGTGTACAATAATAGATTGTACTTTTTCCAGTTTTATGAAAACCCTAACAATATGTATCCAATGCGCCTAGCACAAAGGCTCAGCGCTATTTGTTCCTCGCATGGATCCTCCGTGATTTCAGCGACAGGCTTAGGTAGCCAGGCCAAGTTGGACATTAGAACCTTCTATTATAACCTCCTTGTGCCAAGCTGAATATGGCCCCTGATTTTGAGTTAAGGGGGGAGGGGGGTACTTGAGATAGTTACACCTCAAAGAGGTTATATAATGACTAGCTGGGCACCCCTTTCGATGAAACGAATGATCGGTGCTTTAACATCTACTGAAAGTCATTGGCCTACGAGATCTATACACTCTACTGGAATGGAGCAATAAATAAAATAAATCTTGAGAGATCATGCAAAACATTCGGAGGTCTAGACTCTCAAAACAAAATGCGCCTCGCGAAATATCACCTCCGGCACTTCCGACGTGAAGGACAGCTACGCAGATTTGTTTGGTTTCTCAGTGGAATAACCACACCAGTGGCGTCGCGTGGGTTGCAGACAAGGTGGTGCAAATTTGGAAAGTGAGCAAATGAGCAATAGGCTTACTAGCTATTATTAAGATTTCTAGAGAAAGAATCTGCAGGATATCCCATAATCTACATCTATCGATATTCACAACTGTTTCTAGATGAAACCCATAAAAGCTGCAATAAAGTGAAACAATACTAACGACTCACTATGCTCACAATCTGAGAAGATTTCAAGATTTCTAATTACTTGGTGCAGCACCAGGACTTGCTACACAAACGAGGGAGACAACAGTTTCGATACCCATTCTTCATTGAGTTACCGTATGTAGACTCTACTTGTGTAGTAGGCTAGTATAGTTGAAACTTGGATCAACTTTTTAGCTTGCACCAAATTGGTACTGCGAAGAGCAGTTTCATGCTCCTTTCTTCTTGTGCGGGAAGAGCGATGCCTAAATCTAGATTTTTCTACAGTGACAAAAATAACTTTGGTTCAAAGATTTTGCTTGCTTCCAGCAGACACAACTGCAAGCGGTGCGACCAGCATAAACCCTCCTCGCCGCCTTTCTCTTCACAAGCTCAGGCCAGCCTAATGGCGAAAACCCGTGTTCGTGGGTACTTGTGACAAGGGGAACTACCCATGAATAAATACAGCTGGATAAGTCCAGAAATGCTTAATTCTCTTGCATTTCTGATTTAACAGGGATCGGATATGACATGACTTTTCCCCTGGTCCCACCATCCCTGTTATGTCAGGTTTCTACTGTATTGAGTTGAGAAGTGAGCTCTCTGTGTTGTGTGTGCGTCCACGTTTGTGTGTGTGTGTGTGTGTGTGTGTGTGTGTGTGTGTGTGTGTGTGTGTGTGTGTGTGTGTGTGTGTATTTTGCGTGTGTTTGTGTGTGTGTGTGTGTGTGTGTGTGTGTGTGTGTGTGTGTGTGTGTGTGTGTTTTGCGTGTGTTTGTGTGTGTGTGTGTGTGTGTGTGTGTGTGTGTGTGTGTGTGTGTGTGTGTGCGTGCGTGCGTGTTCAAGAAGCACAGTTGTTCACAAATTTTGTTATTATTTTAGTGTGAATAATGCCTTGGTTTCCGCTGTGTGCAAACGGTCTCCCGCACGGGATAAAAGAGATACCTTTTTTTATTCAAATCGAATAAAGACAGACAAGCTGTGGAAAGAAATTGCCTTTGGGGTGAATAAAAACCCCAACAACATGGAGGTAAGTAGCATTTGCACGCCGATTCGTTCCTTCCTTAATTTTGAAAGAACGCTATCCAAGCTCAAAAACTTTTCAACCTAAGAAGACAACATGTTGGAATTTACAACACGACAGTCGTTCACAACATGGTATTTACAGTAAAGCTCAACCTGTCATTCAACTAGATATAGTAAAAGGAACAGTCTGTGCACGCGCTGAAAATATGTTTCCTTACCCTCGGAAAGATCGGCGCAGGACGAATATGTCACCGACACGCCGAAACTTATTCCGTGGCCTCTCTGTCCTCGCCCTAACCAGAGGGAAATTCTGTCAAAGAAACAAGTGATCACACAGAGAAAAAAGTGCAGTTCATGACTGTGCTTTTTGTTTAGGAGCTGGAGAGTCTATCACACTCTGCAGGCCGTTGTAGAAGTCATCTTTATTTTCCACTTCTGCATCATTGGTTGGGGCATACACTTGTATGATGTTCATGCGTTTATGACCTTCTTCCTACCATCTCTTTCCTTGAGTTCTTTTTTAGTTCCAAATGAAGCCATGATGATCATTGGACCGTGCGCTTCCCAGCCCCTGAATGTCTTTCGCCCTGTTTTGGATATGATCACCCTTACTCCTTCCCTGGGTGGTCCATCACTGTCATTTCCTGAATAAATGAAAAGCTCCCCCTCTTTCATTCGCTTCTGTCCAGACTGGTTCAAGTGGGTCTCGCTGATTCCCAGTATGTGTAGGTTGTATCGGGGAATCTCTGGGAGGACCTGTGCAGTTTTTCCAGCCTCATAAAGAGTTCTTACGTCCCACGATCCAATCCGGAGAGACTTGGACTTGGATGATGGTGAAGGCTTCTGCCCGGCAGCTTCCCTTCGGCTTTCACGGCCTCGCATCATACGACCAGCAAAGCAGAGATTTATATGGTTTTTGCTTGTATGTGTTTCTGTAACAGGTTCTTTTTACGAGAGAGATTGTTAGCCTCGCGACTGAACCCCCGACATGGAGGGAGGATGACTCGACTGTTTCGGGAGTCACTACCTGGTTTCGCCCTTTAGTCGCCTCCTACGACACGCTAGCACCACGTCAGTCCTATTCTTCTCAATGCCGGAACTGCACGGCTAACTATGGTAAAAGTAAAAGGGATGGTGAGAGGGGGAAACAGGGGTCTATAGATTTTTTTCTCTTTCTTGGGGTAGAGGAAAACGGGTTGGGCGTTCGTTTTTATTCTGTTTTGCTCATGCTTCATCCACTTGACCTGAAGGCGGGTTTCTATTTCTCTGTTTTTGTGTACGGCCAAGTCATTTATTATATCGCCAAATAGTTGAAATAGCCCACTTTTCTAACAGATTGTTGCATTAAAGCGCACTGAACTTGTGGCAAGCAAAAAACAGCACACACACCCACCCACATTCTCACTCACGCGCGCGCGCGCGCGCACACACACACACACACACACACTCATAAACACACACACATACGCACACAAATTATGCTCCCACGCACCCACGCAATTCTCTCTCTCTCTCTCTCT